GGGGGGGGCGATAACAGGATCCTCTGAGGTGAAGGAAGAGCAGACTCACCAGAGGGACTCATCAAAGCACTTTAGATGCTTTGAAACAGAGATTGCAGCCAGGAATCATTGCAGTAAGTAGTTCAGTAGTTCATGGGCAACACTAATGTCTCTTTCCTCTTTTGTTGATATTATAAAGAGCCTTCCATCCCTTAGATAATTTTTTACACAGGTTTGCTTTGGGGCGAGATAGGCACATGGGATATTACCTAACATTTGAGAATAAAGTTAAGAAAGACACATTTTGTAAATGAAAATGGGACTTTGAAGTGTTTTATTGTCATTAAAAACAAAGTTAGTGATGGAATAAAATCTTGAGAGGCAACAACATTAAACTGTCACTTGCAGTGGGCTGGATTATGTTGTAGGAAGACAACCAGAGAAAGAAGCAGGAGGCCACCAGGTGAAGGTAAATTTCTTGTCAGCATTTCGTACTCAGTAATATACAAAGACAAATCTGCCTTAGCCCTTTAAAGTATATTGCAAATTACGTGAGGATTTAGATGTTTTACATGAATAAGCATAGTTCTTCATTTTTAAGTCTACGCATTTTAAACCTTACTCATGTCTTTTCCTGGCATAACTCCATCCAACTCAGTCAGTTGACTAAGGCAGAATCTGTACTCTTTAACCTGGAAATAAGATTAGAGGCTAAAAAGGTAAAAGGGCTCTCTCCCACGCTATGAATGAAAAGGACAGTGGCAAAACTGTATTAAAGGAGAAAATAACAGTCAGCAAACGTCAGAATTTTACGAAGTAGCTCTGTTCTTCGGTCTTTTGGCCCAGGGCCTTTTTATCAGAGGATATGTCATTCTTAGAGATGCTCTCAAAGAAAGCCTTAGAAACTCATAGGAAACCACAAGCCTGATTTCCTGTGCCTCAAGTAGAACATTACTTCGTGTACGTTCTCCTTTCCACATACATATTGCTACCATTAGCTGGCAAATTTTGCCACTGCCATTTATAGTACACTAATGACTCCCTTTGAATTCTTTAGGTCTCTCTATCCTCTTTTCAAGATGAACCATGCTGTAGTGATGAAGAACAGCTGTAATCGAAATCATACTGAAAAAATGTGAGCACTTCCAGTCTTGTTTCTTCAAGTAACTCTAGGTGCCCCAAGTATCTTTTAAGGACATTGGGCAGTTTCATCCAATATTGATGAAGGGGCAGAAATCTGAAAGATATGATGTATCTACAAGTTACCTTAAAATAATTGGGCAAATGGAAAAAAAGATACAAATTAGAAGGCAAAAAGTGTAACGCGTATCCTGCTTCCAGCCTTCTTGGTGGTTACAGGAGTTAAGAACAAGCTGGGGACATTGTGGAGAGAAATAATAATTTTTAGAGCTTATAATCAAAAGAAAGTCATATGTATTTTGTTACAATCACTACATTTAACAAAGATGAATGGAAAAGCACAAAGAAAAGAACTTTAGTATCGGGGAATGCTACATAGTAGTAAAATCTCATAGTGCAAATAGTTAATACTTTGGATCTCTGGCCTTTAGTACTCAGCTGCCTCCCTTTGCTCGAGAAAGCCATGAAGTTGATCTATGGCACCTTCCACAGTGGTGTACGTGCTCTTTACTAACCGGAGTTTTTCTGGAATGAAAACACGTATATCCCCTTTGAACAGAGGCTCATTTGGTACTTGATGAAATACTGTTATTTAAAAAGGTTTAAAACTAACAGCTTTCCGGTTTGTTTTTTAAGGATCTGTGACTAAAAGAGCTCTCAGAAGCAACACCTCTTTGTATACCACTTAACACAATCACAGAAATAAATACATTTTCCACTACCACAACAGGGCCTAGCATTACGGATTCAGCACTGTAAGAAGCAACAGCTAACACACCAAAAAGTATAAACACTGAAGTAGCAAGTAAAAGCACGCTGGTCTTGCTGTTGGGTGTAGGTGGAGTGCAGATTGAGAAGTGGATATCACAGGTCTCTAATGAGCATGCTGGGTGTCCAAAAAGCTAGCGTATGGCTTGCTTTCAGATAGAGGAGTTTCTCCATTAGCTCGAGGAATATGAAATTGTACTGTTTCTGCATATGGTGTAAATTTTGGACCGGCACCGATGTTGCTATGTATCAACATTTGCCACATTGTATTTGTTGTTTGGTGCAGTATCTCACCTTCAGCTGAGAAAGAAAGAAAAAAAAATTCCTGTAATTCATTTCAGAGATACAAACACAAATGCCCTTAGCGAAGCTGACTAATTACTCCAACTTCAGATCCCCGAGGTATTGAAGAAGCAGAAAAATAATCACATTTGCCATTAAACAAATCTTGATTGTCTTCAGAGTGCCCCTAAGGTGTCTCCGTGCTGCAGGGGTTTTACAATCAAAGGAATGCCTGCGTATCAGCTGCAGCTAATACCTGGCACTGCCTTTGGAAATAAGTTCTACCTTACAGCCTTGGAAAAGCAGAAGTCCCATTTTTGAAATAAAGTGAAACAAGAAACTGTTACAATGGTTTAACCCAGCAGGCAGCTAAACACCACACAGCCATTCGCTCACTCCCCCCCACAGTGGGATGGGGGAGAGAAGCGGGGGCGGGAAGTCAGATTTGTTGGTTGAGATAAAGACAGTTTAACAGGACAGAAAAGGAAGGGAAAATCATAATAGTGATAACAATGATAAAAGAATATACAAAATAAGTGATGGAGAATGCAATTGCTCACCACCCACCGACCGATGCCCAGCCAGTTCCCGAGCAGTGGCCCCCTGGCCAGCTTTCCTCTCGTTTCTATACTGAGCATGATATCATATGGTACGGAATAGCCCTTTGGCCACTTTGGGTCCACTGTCCCGGCTGTGCCCCCTCCCAGCTTCTTGTGCACCCCCAGCCTTCTCAGTCGGTAGAGCGTGAGAAGCTGAAAAGTCCTTGACTTAGTGTAAGCGCTACTTAGCGACTAAAGCATCAGTGTGTTATCAACAGTATTCCCATCCTAAATCCAAAACACAGCACTATGCCAGCTACTAGGAAGAAAATTAACTCTATCCCAGCTGAAACCAGGACACCTTCTTTTGAAAATGAGAACATGGGTAAGGTTGGTTGTAAGGAAATTATAAGAACTGTATGCTTCAAAGGCAAGTTCCCCTAGTATCTACACGAGCTTCACTATTACTCTTTAATAACTTAATCACTGTACATTATTGACACTATATATAGAGTTCAACAGCATAATAAATACATTATGGCTGAACACCTGTTATATAGTGTCCTTTATACAAAAGATAAGCACTTACCAAACAGTTGTCACTGTACAGCAGCAGCAGAGGTACTGTGATATTTTCCTGCATCAGGTAGAACAAAACTAGTTTGAGATACCTTATGTGCGTGCTGTGAAAGAAAAATGTAGAAGAAATTGTGGAAGAGGCTTATTTTTGGTTGAAGCAAACCAGAAACAGATTTAACTGTATTCACACTATGTATTTAGGAGAATTAATTGGAGGAGAAATTATAATTTTCTAATAAACATAGTTTTGACAATCTGTACAATTGAGAAGACACCGAAATTAGTGTTTCATACCAAACGCAAAGCTACTGGACAGAAAACTAATAATGATGAGTAACTGGTCATATTGTAT